ACAGGAAGGCAGAGGATGCCATCTAAAATGAGCAGATCATAATCCTCACAGGTTATGTAGACCTGTATAAATGGTGCGCTGCATTTGAAAAGTGTCTGTAAATAATATGCTGTTATCTAGTGTTTTGTGTCACTTTACTCTCGACATCCTTTCCTTTGCTCATTATTTGGATTTTGTAAGTTTTGTATCCAAACACACATGTGCTAAAGCTTCTCAATTAGAGAACTCTTCTTTTATTGTAGCTGCTTTTATTATAGCTCATGGACGAGTCACATCAACTGCTCTTTGTGAAATTTGCACTTCACACAAAAACTGCTGTGAATATGTGTGGACCTCCTACCTGCTTTGAAGTGCTGCTGCCCACTGAATTGTAACATGCTAAACATAAATCTTAATGGCACAGTGTGGAGAGGTTTCACTGCCCCAGTACTGTCTGCTGTTGCTTTGATCTGAAACCTCAGTGAGCTCTTTAGCACTGCTGCCTAATCCTGGTAGGTTTCTTCTGTAAATACTGACTAAGAAGGCAAGCAAGAACATGTTTATCAATTTATTTAATTGTGTAAATATATTTATTCTTGGGAAAATTTGTTTTTTTAGAGGGCTCCCTATTCTTCAAACATGATGGCTCAAGTTCCAAATACTGTCACATTTCAAAGAAACATATCTAATAATCTCTTACTATTGCAGAGCATAGTATAGACCAGGGGTCGGCAACCTGCGGCTCTGGAGCCGCATGCGGCTCTTTAGTCCTTTTAGTGCGGCTCCGCGTGGTTTGGAAAAATAAATTAATTTTTTTAAGTAATTAGCTGAAGTATATTTTATTTATGTTAATTCTTTTTTAACTTGTAGTTCTAAATTGGAAGATTATTGTGATATTGAAATATAAATATAAAATTATATTCTATTAGTTCTTGATCGCTCAAAATAAGTGTCACACTCGCGGAAGCCGGTATACCCGCCGAAACGCCGTGCATTTATCGAAACTTTCAACCCCAGGTAGGGGGTCTTCGGATCCACATTATTTCAGCAGCTATTCTCCACCGTGAACTATGTTAAAAACAAACACCGCTCACGCCTCACAGATGAAAGCTTACAGTCCTGCGTAAAGATGAAAGTCACTTCGTACAGCTCCGAAGTCCCATTGTAAACATATCACGGCAGACCCGACGATGTTTCCATGAACATGCTTTTCAGCATCTCTTTATTGACCACTTTTCACACACGGTTGCTATACGTATACAGCCGGTGTTAAAGCTCACAGCCCGACACACCAACACAACAGCATAGATAGCACAGACGTTAAGGTGGCGAGGTGTGATTGCGGGTGCCGCTCAGGTGCATCCGCATCCCCTGCAGCGGCGCTGCAGACCACGCCCCGCCACACACATTAACCAGGTAAAATACATATTTAGGCAGAATTTTGCAAATATCTATTTTTCATTTTTCAGCAGCATAGTGCTTTTTTTCCAATTATTTTTTTTAAAAGCCAGGTCAAGGCTCCAAAAGCCCAAAGGCGATATATCTGTGGTGGCTCACAACAGTTTTTGTTTGCTGGATCATTTTAGTTCAGCTGTGTGTCTTTCCTTTTGTTATATTTCTTTAAGAGTTCAAAATGTGTTAATTACATAAATAAAATGTAATTTTCTCTGTAGCACTTCCTGGATTTAAGCAGCACGCCTTAGTTGTTCACACAAAGCATAAAGGTAAAAAAACAAACAAACAATATATACAGTGTTATCTTCATTTTAGATGTCAAAAAGTATTTGCGGCTCCCAGTGATTTCTTTTGCATGGAAATCGCGTCCAAATGGCTCTTTGGGTGAAAAAGGTTGCTGACCCCTGGTATAGACTCAAGGTGTAAATCACAAGTTACTGATTTTAGTCAATGCTTTGCAACAACTATGGCTTTGTATACAATCACACAGGTGTCAGTGATATGTTATGAGATTTCATAGAAGATTCATTTGGATAAAACCATTTACTGTATGTCTCAAACACAATATATAACCATTGAACTGTGCGATAAAAGAGGCAGCAAACATTCGGAGAGCACGTTAACACCAAATTTAGATCCTCGTGATAACTAGTATTTGTAAGGAACTGTGCCTTTACAAACAATAGGAAAATATTCACCTGTTATTGAATTTCATATGTTATTGAAGTGTCTAAACTAAAGATATTTCACAATATATGCAGTCTTAATGCAGAGAAAAAAAAATTAACAGTCAAATACTGATTGATGTAAAATGCATATTCTTAGCTTGTGAAGATTATTTGATTTATACAGGAAGGAACTGGATGGATGGGTGGATGTTTTACTACGACCACTAAAACTGAATGTTTACAGGATAACATTTAAAGGGATTTATGTGGGGGTATATCTTCAAGATAGTCTGAATACCTTACCACTGTAGTTGTGAAGTTATTCAAATAAAACTTTGTGGTAGTTATTCTGAGCAGAACTTGATAAAGTATTATATCAGGGGGGATGGTGGAAGCCCAACTCAATCAGAAGTAACAGCGGGGCTCGCTGGTGTGTTTATGGAACAGACCCAAAAGCAGACATGGAAGAAAGGAAGTGACAATAAACAAAAAGCGAGCCTTTATTACGGGGGATACAAAACAGAAAAATGGGGCAAAGCGGAAAACTAAAACTAACTATCAAAATGATGACAAAAGACAAGAACATGAAACTGAAGGGGAACATGCGAAAACGTAAATGTGAAATAATCCCAACATGAGCATTAATATGTACCGGAATAGTAGAAAGCAGAAACTCTGTGACATAATGAGACTTGACATAAGGACAAACAGACGACCCAATGCTGAACAGAGGAAGACAAGACAGACGACTTAAATACACAGTAATAAGAAGAAACACCTGGGGAGACACAGCTGACACAAATGAACCTGATGCCACAGGGAAAAGTAAAACTAAACACGCTGGACATGGAAAGACCAGACTCGTCAAAATAAGATAGGAAACATGGAGAGACGTGGACATGAAAGCACAGGCAGAACGAAAGTAAAACAGAGGACAAGATAGACTTACACAGAAGACAGGAAAGACACGTAAACAGGAGACATGGACAAACCAAAAACTAGAATAAAACTAATAAATAAATAAAATAAGATTAGCTATGGCAAAAGAAGTAGTGAGCATGAGGTCTCTGTAATTACTAAATTGGTCATTCTTACTTGTGGTCCGAGGGCAGGAAGTGAGGAGGTCAGTCTGCTGGCAGACACACTTCCAGAGTAGGAATAAGAAGTACAGCAGAGAGTGGGTGGGCAGATGCAAGTCCAGAAGGTATGGAGTTTCAGGAGCACCGTAAGGCAATTGTAAGCACCTTAGGGCAACTGTTGTGCATTACTGAATTGAAAAAAAAGCCAGGAATTAGGACTGGTTGAGAGCTGAAGAATCCACGGGATTAAACTGGAGAGTCTTCTGATGGGTGAGAAGATTGTAGGTCTGGGATTCTAAACAGGATGTGAGAAGCAGGAGTTAGAACAAAGCAGGTTAAGGAAACCAAAGACAAAGAATGGGGCCAAATAGTACAGCCTATTGAGGAATCAGATATTACTGCACAGCCACCTTGTCTGCCCTGAATCCTGACAAATATTTAATAGAGAAAATATGCAGTGGTTGATATCAGTATTTATGGATACTCTGTTTTTTCCTGCTTATCCCTGAATAAGCAGGAAAAAGATGAGGATGGATGGATGTTTTTTTAAGTAGCCAAAAAAGTTGTAAGGTGATTTCAAATGAATTTTTAATAGCTTTCTTTTGTCACAACAGCCTGTGTCAGTTGTACTATGTAGTGGTTGTGGGTTTTGTTTTTGTTTTTTTGGGGGGGGTTGCCTCCAGCCTGTTGGCTGCTTGTTTGTGCAGTCACATTGCAGTTTTTTTCTGTTTTTTATACTTACAGCTGTGGTTAACTCTCTTCTTAGAGCCATTTCTTTATTTGTACCCATTGACCTTGGGTCTGTACAATGAAACAACTGAAGGATACCCAGAAAAAAAAATCTGAACTTGTGAAATCTGAACACCTTCAAGAACATTCAGAAGAAGATAAATAACGCAGGAACAAACATCCTGCTATGTAATATAGACCACTTGTATGGACAAGGATGTGCAGATGTTTCCCAGAATGATACCCTGAAGTGATGAATTAATTCAAATTGTATGTCAAATAGCACACTAACTATAATTACAAATAGTGCAACCACTTATGTGTATTTATGTGATCTATTCATGACCAAAAGGTAGCTATAAGAAAGTGAGGATGGGGTGGAGTTACGTAATTGAGGGATGCTGTAATTCTGTAATTGTATGCCATCTTGTCAATGTATTGGCTTTTCCACCTCTTTAGCAATTTGTGGCTTAAAGGGAAACTGCAAAGGGTTGGCAGAGTTGATGTGATAAAAGCATCACGTTGGCAGAGTATAAAGAAAAAGGTTTAGCTCCAAACCAGCCAAAGGTGCATGCAACTAAAAGGAACACCTAGAAGCACAGTGCTTGTGTTCAAAATAAATATTAATGACATCACAAAGAGGGAACAAGGAACATAGTAGATAGGAATTGCACCAAAAACAAACAAACAAAAGAAACCCTATACCTTCACAAAAAACAATATGAGATAAACTGTTTTACATTTATTGACCCAAAAAAATCACACAGTTACAATAATGTGGTACGAGGAGAACGCTGCAGTATCACTGAATAATCTGGAACAGGTGATTATTATTCTGACTTCCAAAAAACACATATTTCACAAACGTACGCAGTCAAACTGGTGGTTGTATAACAAGACTGCTCGAAGCATGCTCAAGGCCTTTTATATCTCGTGTAGGCTTTTGTATCTCATAGCATCAATGGTGGGAAAAAAATTTGCCTTTTGTGAATCTGAAATACTTGATTTACCTCAAATTACACGTTTGGTTTTTGAAGGTCAAGAGATGACTCATAACTTTCTGGTGTGTCTGTCATATACTAATTTACAGGAGATAATAATGGATGGCCCCATCTTTTTGACAAGTATTTTGGAATGCCGAGTCATAACGCCAGGACCAAGTCCAATGTATGCTGTGAGTACCTTCATTTTAAATGTTAGAACTTTGTCCTTAAATCGATTATTTGTTTTTCACAATGTTTTATAGCAAATAGTTATTAATATATCAGATGTGCTTTCATGACAGTATTTACTTTCTGCTTTCGCTTGAAATTAAAACAGTAGACATTCCCTCATTACCGCATTGCAGGAATATCCTAGATGCATGTCTTCGTTTGCCACTGAAATGTTTACATTATGTTTTGTTACTGTGATAAAATAGTAAAAGAGATGGAGTTCAAGGCAAACATGTTTAATGTTGCAAACTGTACAATAGGGCTGCCACGATTAGTCGACTGGTCACGATTACGTTGACTATTAAAATTGTCAACGACGAATTTAATAGTCGATGCGTCGTTTGAAGCTTTGTAAGATTCCAAAAGACGCAGGAATAAGTAGTAGGATTGAATAGTGTAATAACGGACTGAAACAGAAGATGGCAGCACTGCATGTACAAGGATGCCAGCTGTCGTTAAACCCTGAAGAAGTAGTAGTGTCCAGTATCATAGCTGTGTCCAAATTCAGGAACTGCATCCTCCTGTGCCCGCATTTGTAGGGCGATTACGTTACAGCGACACGGCGAAGACTGTCCAAATTCGAAGACTCCGACAAATGCAACCGACAAATGCTGGGACACATTTTGTGGGATTGACCGATTTACATAGTATGGGCAATAAAATGTGTATACCAGACTTATTTGAGTGTTGGTTTGATATAGCTTTTTTATTCTATTTTGCTGATGTCTTTTCATCTTATTCCGTTTCATACATGTAAAAAAGGAATTTTATGCATCATGACAGCTGCAATTTTAGTCTATTGTTGGTTTTGTCAAAATCTTTCTGTTTAACGATCAATCATGCATGCATGACCAATCTGTTTATGTAATTATTCTTTTAACTTGCCATCCGTACTATAAGTAACAAAGGCTTAAGCATGACAGTCTTAAGAAGATGAAATCAAATTGTCAAGCTTCGATTTTAGTCATCCAGTTTGGATTTTTCTTTTCCCATTATATGCACCTCTTTCAGTTCATGCTTTTTAATCTGCCAGTTGTTTGAAAGCTATCTATTATCCACACTGTGCTCACTGACAAGCAGTGTATTTTCTATTCTACATAGAATAGAAAATAAAGACTAGATGCATAACTTTGTGTCCCCAAAAATGAAGCCTTGCAGGCTAAGTTCCTTTTGAGAATGAGAATCAGTAGGATGATAGCTAACGTGACAGCTAATTAGAGATGCACTACTGCACTGACCGGTGACCGCCAGTCAACCTCCCAGATGACTCCCATATGGGCATGTGTTACGCACGCACAGCAGTGCAGGCAAATAGTCACATATATATTTTTTGTCATAACACATTGATGTCAGGATCTGAAAGCAGAAGGCTCTGCCTCCCATACTACTATTAAACATCCTAGGAACCACAAGTAAGCCTGCTGTCTGAGAGCAAATTACTCTATAGGGGTGATAAAGTACTGTGAGGTCTTTAAGATTACATGGGGCCTGATTGTTTAATATCTTGTATGTGAGGGGAAGGATTTTAAATTTAGTTCTGAATTTAATAGGGAACCAATGTAGAGTAGACAATATGGAAGAAATACCCTTCTCTTTCTAGTCCCTGTTGCCACTCTTGCTCAATCAACTCAAGGCTTTTCAGGGAGTTTTTACAACAACCTGATAATAGTGAATTACAATAATCCAGTCTAAGTAATAAATGCATGAACAACTCTTTCAGCATCCCTCTGAGACAGGATGTTTCCAATTATTGAACAAATGGAATAACAATGTCCTATATATGTATTTAATGTGCAAACTACAGTACTACTATAGCATACAGTACTATGCTATAGTACATAGTCAAAAATTACTCCAAATTTCATCACAGTGTTACAAAAGCCAAGGTAATACCACCCAGAATAAGTATCTGGTTAGAAACCATATTTCTAAGACTTTTAAGGCCGAGTACAACAACTTCAGTTTTCTAAATTTAAAAGCAGGAAATTGGAGGCCTTCCAGGTCTTTATGTTTTTAAGACATTCCTGCAGTTTAACTCATTCATATGTGTCACCTGTTTTCATAGAGAGATAAATGCATAGCTGTAAAAATGTATTCTATGCTAATGATACTGCCAAAGGGAAGCATGTCTAATGTAAACAGAATTGGTCCTAGCACGGAACCCTGTGGAACTCCATAATTAACCTTAGTGCATGAACATGAACAAACTGGAGTCTATTAGATACATATGATTTAAGCCACTACAGTGCAGTACCTATAATACCCACAACATGCTCTGTGATAAAATATTATGGTCAACAGTATCAAACGCTGCACTGAGGTCTAGTAGAACAAGCACAGAGATGAGTCCACTGTCAGCGGTCATAAGAAGATCATTTGTGACTTCACTAATGCAGTTTCTCTACTGATGAGCTCTACTGTTTTACAACTACTCTTTCAAGAATTTTGAGATAAAAGGAAGGTTAGAGAATTGCCTATAATTTTCATGTGTTGGTGTCTGTGGCTTCTATACTTTAAGCAGTCACTGACAGCAAATGATTTTCACTGAAGCATTAAAAAGTATCCTCATGTTTAAAATGTTTGTATGTGCCTTTGTGTATTTAATTTTGAGTGTCTGAAAATAGAGGACTATTTATAAAAATGGCTGTAAACAGTTAGTGCATTTTTTGTAAAACCCCTTTAATTAAAGCTGAACTTTATTTTTCTTTATTATTTAAAATCCACTGCTGCAAAGCTTTAAAAAAATGTGCCCAACAAATTATGTATCTAATTGTAGAATGCAGCACAATAACAAGTCTTTTTTTTCAGCTGCATAATAATTTAACTAACCTCTTTTGAACAATTATTTAGATCAGATTTGCCACTCTGTTTCCCCATCTGCTTAGTCCAGGGAGCACTGTTTCAGGATTGTGATCAGTGTGACCAAACGGCTTGTGAATATCATCACATAAATCTGATATTTCAACCCAGAACATTGCTTCAAGTGTTAGTAATACACCTAGCAATGAGCTTAACCAGCAATACAATCTGTTGTTGAACTAGCACATAGCTACATTAAAATAATGATAGTGTGGTTCACAATTTTTATCAGTTATTATAATTTCTTCTTGAATAATTTGCAGAGCCATTTGCAAGGTATCATAGGGATATGGGGACCATAATTAGACTAATTGTTTTCAAAGACATTGTCACAATTACTGCAATTATAAAGCAGAAGTAAACAAATTACTCTTGTTGGGGTTTCTTTGAAATTAGCTGTTTACTGATAAAAAAAAATAATCAAAATGTTACAGAACAAAACATTATCTGTGTGGAGACTGTATTACCTGAAACAGATATAAACACGCCTGGATGTCATATTTCTCACAGTTTTTCACAGTTAGAGACTTGACACCCTCTGTGAATTTGCATCTCTTAATTTCCTCACTTCCTTTACTTTGTGATTTACGGAGAAGACAAATATGTTTTATATAAATTTTGGCCATACAGTAGCTACTGTGACCTCATCTACTGGTTTATGGATTGATAAACCCATGGATTATCTTAGATTATTTGATGGATAACTTGATAAAATTGTTCCATATTGCACAAACACCATAAAGAAGGTTCAGCGTTCGATGGTTCAAATTAATTAAGGTGTCTCTTAGCTGACTCTTAGGTGCCGGCATCTACATGCAAGTGTTACTCAAAGATGTCAAACCTGCATGCTAATACATCAGCCCATCTGTGGTTATCTCAAAGGGGACAGTTAGCTGTCTAGACCAAAACAATTTGTAGCAGGACGTAAACATGTTTATTTCTGGAGTGGATCTAAACATTGGGTCCCAAATGGCCACTTGAGGAACTGCAACTTAGGCCACTTTTGCTTTGGCTTAATTATTCAGCCCTTAAGGCTGCGACTTCTACAGAATCCATTTCAAAATTTTCTCTCACCATCTCTCTGGGTGAAAATGTGTTTTCTCTCACAGGCAAGCTTTTCATTGACTTCCTTTTATGACACATCCTCAAAATATAATTTAAATTCATTGGAGCCGGTAAAGTCTGGTTAGACAATTTTATCTGCTTCATTTAATCACATCTTTCATATTCAAATTGGAATTTAATCAAAGGTAATCACAGCTGGCTTATCCTGGGAATATTTAGTAAGTCTTTTATTAATGATTGCCCACCTGTTCATCCCAAAAGTCACTTTTAATAAATTCTGCTTTCATTTTCTTTTTCTCTCCTTCTTAATCCAGCAGGATTGTGTTGTTGTTCTTCAAAACAGCTCCACTATTGACACTTTTGACCATTTGTTTATCCTTCCCCTGTCTCCTCCATTGCTCTAGTGCTTGGTGTGGTTCCTGAGCTCTGCCTGTGCCGGGACCTGGAGCTCGACTGTGACGGGGCTCATCTTCAAGATATCCCAGTGGTAGCAATGAATGTCACTATGATGTGAGTAGAAAATAACCCCTGTTTTTCTTCGATACTTTCAAACTCAAGCAATGTCCAGAAAGACAGTCATCAGCAGCGATTACTGTCACAACTTGCGAGAATTTTTGTAGCAGACATTTGCCACTTCAAACATCACTTGCCACTGTGAATACCTGTCATTGCCACAACTTGAAAGGTAAAAAGTGAAAATTATTGCCTGAGACATGGCACTCAAAGAACTCAAATCTGTTGGACAATTCTCTGAGAGCAAAGATGGTGGTAGAAGTAATCATTCTCTGGGCAAAAAAAATCTTTTAAATTTTTTTTCTTTTAATTTATTCTTTACATGAAAGTTAAGTTCAGCAATATACTACTTTAAACAAAATGCATGGATATATTTCAACAAGACCACTCAGTGTTGAGACTTACTGTTAAAAGCTATAAAAGCTAGCCCGTACTCATTTAAAATATGGCTTTTTTATCAGTACAATGTACAACATCCAGAATCAGATCAACTATGCTACCATAAGCCCAACACCTATGTTACAAATTTAGCCTTCAAAATGTGACATTAAGACAACTATAATGTATGTGGAATAAATAATAAAAGGCTCATTAATCACATGTCCTCACAGACTGACTGGATGCGTCGCAAGCACACTCATTTATAGAATTCCCTGTTCAACAGTTGGACCAGCTTCTAAATATATGACACATACAGCACATCTTAAGGTGTGAGTGTATATTCTGAGCATATTAGCAGTAAACATGTTGCAATGATTTACAAATGTCAGAAGGTACAGAAAGTACAAAAATGTTAATAATTTAATACTAGTAATATTTCCATAATGTGGAGGGGCCCTTTTGCCAGATCTCAGCCCAAAAGAGCATCTTTGGGTTGTAGTGATCCTGGAGTTATACATTATGGAAGTGCAATCAATACGTCTTTAGCAGCTGCTAAATGATGATGCTGTCAAAGTCTCTCATAACTAAAATCTCAGAAGAGTATTTCCAGCAATTCCTTGAATCTATTCAATGAAGAAAAAGCAATTTTAAAGGCAAAGTAAGGCCCAACCCTGTTAGTAATCAAGTAATTTTGTAATTTTGTTTAGTTTTGTTTTCATTTCTTTTAATGGATTGTCAGTTCAAATAAATAACACTGACTTTTTGTTCTAATGAATCATCACCTCGCTTCCTTTCATGAGCCCATTATAATTATCTTGCCCACTACAGGGCTATGAAACAATCTAACTAGGAGTCATAATTAACTGCTTGCACAAAGAGCCTCTGGGAGAAGACGGTCTCTACTTGCCAGCTATCCAAGAAAAACAAAGTTAAAGTAAACAAAGTTAGAGAATGGTGCACCAAAGGGGATTGCGTTAATAGTAAGACGTTTTCCCAAATGTGAAAAAACTGACTACTTCTGCTTGATAGAATAGTGCGTGAGAAGATGAGCTTTTAATCATCCTTTAATCCTTTAAAAGGCTTGGAATCAGCAGCTGAATCAGTTGGTCAGTTCAGGGTCTCTTGACCCTGATATGGTCTCTTGGCAGAATTTAAAAGACCACTAAGCTGTAGCTTGTAATGTTTACAGATTAATGTTTCTGGTAACTGGCTTAGTCAGAAAAAGTAAGTTGGACATTATAGGGAGTTTTTGTCTTTTTATATGTATTTTATGTGGATAATCCAGTTAAGATATTAACATATTAAAATATTAAAATCTGTATATCAAAAATCTTCTTTGAGTAAATTAAAATGCCTGCTATGTAATAAATAAATAGAATCAGCGTAGTGATGTTATGTTTCATTTTAAATCGTTTTTAAGATTCACAGCCACAAAATCCCATTAATCATAGTCAGAAGAAACATGCTGTCCAAGTGTCCAAAGGTGAGTGGTGCTTTTGGTTTCAAGCAATAAACATGTAAATGTCCCTGTCTCTCAGGTCCCTACAAAGGAATGGGCTTCAGAAACTTAGAGCGAACATATTCTTTAAGTACCAGAGCCTGCAGAAACTGTGAGTGTTCCATTAATTGTGGATTACATGCTATTTATGTTCTTTTATTGCATTTGTAGTCTTATTGTCTTTCTACAATATTCTTTTCTGTTTTTTATATTGTTTGTTTTTTTCTTTAAAAAATAAAAAAAAGCTCCACACACAATAGATCAGGTGCTATAACCCTACCCTATTCATTGAGTAAAGCATCTTCACTCTACCTTGACCTGGCAAATGCAACAAATAAGCATCACATCTATAAAGCTGGTATGTGTAAGCTAAGAGGACTGCTGGGAACGTTGACAGATTTGTTCTGCTTTGCATACAAATTCATTCATTGTCCACTTGTGTTGTTTATCAGCCTCACACAGTCACACTGACAATGGCAACATGAGAATAGGTCTTATCCCTCGCCAGAAACTATTTGGTAGCTTTTGCTGGACTGAAAACTTCCCTGAGATGTGTATAAACAAACATTAGAATGAATTGCCGTGTGTGAAAACACAAGACAAAACACAACTGTCAGCAGGGGTTTGTCGAGCTCGTAGTGTGCAATATGGTAAATGGCCTGTATTTGTATAGCGCTTTTCTAGTCCCTAAGGACCCCAAAGCGCTTTACACAACCTGTCATCCACCCATTCACACACTGGTGATGGCAAGCTACAATGTAGCCACAGCCACCCTGGGGCGCACTGACAGAGGCGAGGCTGCCGGACACTGGTGCCACCGGGCCCTCTGACCACCACCAGTAGGCAACGGGTGAAGTGTCTTGCCCAAGGACACAACGACCAAGACTGTCCAAGCCGGGGCTCGAACCGGCAACCTTCCGATTACAAGGCGAACTCCCAACTCTTGAGCCACGATCGCCCCAATATAAAGGAGTATTCTTGGAAGAGATTATCATTATTTGATGTGAACGATTTCATTTACGCAAAAGTTGCACTTGAGCAAAGGCATTCGGGCTTTATGGCTTAGTATGTCTGTTTTGTTTTGTTTTTCTGATAGCTATCAAGTAAAAATAAAGAAAATATTTTGTGCTTTATGTATGGATAGATATCTCCAGCACAACAAGATTCAAGATGTGAGTCCTGATGCATTTAGAGGGCTGTATAACCTGACAAGACTGTAAGTTTGTTACATTTTTGCTTTACGTGTAATTTGATAATACACACTCTGAGTTGCATTGGTTTCTTATCTGTTCTTAAAATGCAGAAAAGCATTAGTTCACTTGCAGTAGTTAATTTTTGCAACCTAGCACATCCTGCTTCTTGACATTAACAAGGTATGCTTGTATATGAACATTCACTTTAAGAGGATAGATTATATAAACTGACCAATGATGAACTGCTTTTGGAAGGTCAACACCACTTACAAATTGTTATCAGCATCTGGTGCAGGTAACCTTCCATTGTCTTTCTGTATGTAGATATCTGAGCAACAACAGGATATCGGTTTTAATGCCTTGGGTGTTCAGGGATCTGCACAAACTGGAGTGGTTGTATGTATCCAGCTTTTATAACATATATCACCTTTTATTTCTTCTTCTTGCTTTGTGCTTTTTTTAATTACTTTCAGGTATGCACGTCAGTGAATGCAGTTTTGTATTGTGCAAAACTATATTCTATTTTTGATGTATTTGTTTTTACTCTAGGATTCTTGAAAATAACAACATCCATCAAATATCCCCCACGACCTTTTCAGGACTGAACTCCCTTGTTCTATTGTGAGTCATTATTTTGACTTTTTTGTGCTGCAAAGGCTTTCAGATCATCGAAAGTGGTGCTATTAAGAGTGCTTGGCAGCTACGAGCAAATGAGTGTTCTTTCTTTGAACTTTAAGAGAAAAGCCTTTCACCTTCTTTTATTTTGTCTTGCTGATTGACAGGGTTTTGTTGAACAACTCTTTGACAAAGCTGGATGACATCTGTCGAGAAATGCCCAGATTAAATTGGTTGTAAGTAGAATGTCAAAAAAAAATCTAAACTTCTCCTAACATACAAGTGCCAATTTGCGATCAATCTGTTCTTTGTGAGCAGTTTGGGTGCATTTGTCTGTGTTCATTTGATAATATGTTGTGCAGGGACCTGGAAGGAAATCTCATTGAAGTGATTGGCAATGCCTCATTCAGCTCATGCACCATGCTGACAGTTCTGTAAGTATAAATCTACATAATTTATTACATGGCTGAGGTGCAGTCTTTGCATTTACATTTTTTCTTTTGCTGCAGTTCCTGTTAGAGGATTGCAAATCAACCTTAGTTTCATACAAATTGATGAACTGTACTATCCTAGGTGTGGGATCAATTCTGGCAGTTCATTAAATGGGATTAAGGTAGGAAAAATAGTCATATAATTCTTTCTGTGTCTGTTGCCTGTCTCCAGGGTTCTGCAGCGAAATAGGATCAGCTACGTACATGAACAGGCTTTCTCAGTCCTGCAAAAGCTTGGAGAATTGTAAGTAAAAATATTTTGCACAAACAAACTTCAAAAAACAAAACAAAACTCTCTGGATTGTGCCAAAAAAAAGCTGAATTGAAGCCATGTAAGATGTGGATTTTGAAGATTCATTGTGATTAATGACTCAAGAAGTTCCAAAAGAACAGAAGGAAACGACAGCATTTAAAAACACTATAAATGCTCTGTTCTATTAAAAAAAGCACTGAAATAGCCAGATCTATGCTTTAATCGCTTCCAAAGATTATCCTAGACGTCATTAAAACCGTCTGTAACACCTAAGATACAGCAGCTTCCTGTCTAAGAAGGACAAACATCAAACTCTGCTCAGTGCAATAACCAACATCATTTAAGGACGTGTCTAATAAAGTAACATTTAGCTCAAGGGTTTGTAGAAAACCCCTGTGGAAAGGCAGGGTGCACCCGGGACAGGTTATCAGTCTCACAGAGACAAACAACCATTCAAGATAATATTCACTCCTGTAGCCAGTTTACAATCATCAGTTAATTACAATCAGCAGTCCTTGCTGCTCCATCTACTTGACTAACATCTGTATAGACCACTTCAGGTCTCACTTGTATTCTGATACGTTATGGAATTTGCACAGGTGTCACATGAATAGAACTGAGTAATTTAGAAGGAAATTTGATTGAGATCAGCGGTTATAATTGAGCATTTTATAGTCATGTTGATGATCCATGAACTTCACATTTTTATTGTGTCTGTGCTTTAATTCTAACAAGCAACAGTCAGTGGCTTTAAATGTGGAACTTCTTAATACTTTTTGACAATGGCAATTTGATCTATATAGCACATTCAATTATATGTAGAGTTCAGAAGATATAAACCCAGTGTAGGTTTTATATGACTTAATGCAGTTAAAACAGCAAAATAAAGCCCCCACACCAATGTCAAAATCATGAATAATCAAAATCACTGACTTTTATCTGGTATTGTTATAGTAGCAGTGTGGATAGAAAGAGTTAATCCATGACTGGGAAACCTCCTGTGTACGGTTAACATCAGTTAGTCTTTAATTCTCTTCAAAAACTGTGAGTTCAAACATCCAGTCATCCACCCATTCACACACTGGTGATGGCAAGCTACATTGTAGCCACAGCCACCCGGGGGCGCACTGACAGAGGCGAGGCTGCCGGACACTGGCGCCACCGGGCCCTCTGACCACCACCAGTAGGCAATGGGTCAAGTGTCTTGCCCAAGGACACAACGATCAAGACTGTCGGAGCTGGGGCTCGAACCGGCAACCTTCCAATTACAAGGCGAACTCCCAACTCTTGAGCCACATAAGAAACCACTTGGACATAGACATTTATATTTAATGATGAAGAGGGATAGTAGGTTAAATATATAATGCATTAAAGCCATACAACCACAACATTCACAGTGCTGCAGTTGGTAACACTGAATCTTCAAAATAGGGTAACTGTGAATGTATTATATTAATGCAGTCTGGGAAACCTGCTGTGGATGGTCACTAATGAAAAACGTGGCTACAACAACCCACCGTAAGCATAGTGTCAGTATTCAAAGGACTTTACATTTTTTGTTATTGCTGTTTTTCAGCTTGCCTGTCATTCTATCCACCCCCTCTCCCTTAACAGAGTTACTGAGGGTGGATCTTCCTTTGAAGATCTGTATGCATCCATCAAATGCCCAGTGTTGTACATCAATATTTATTCATTGTTCTTTATTTTTGGAGAACTGATGTGGATTTGTCTGTGCACACAGGGATCTATCCAGAAACAGACTGGCAGGAATCCCTCCGAATCTCTTTGTCTTACTTGAGGATTTGCTCCAGCTGTGAGTTCTCTTTATACAAATACCCACAGACACATAGTTCTGTATGCGGATACCTTTCCCATAGCCTTCTCTATGGCTATTTATATCTTTGTAGTCATCGAGAATGACAGCAGACTGACAGTTTGTCATTTTGCAAAAACTAGACATAGTTTCATGTTTTCAATGAAAAGTGTGTATACAGACTTTGACTAAACTGTAGTAAATTTTGCTGGGGGTTTTGTACTACCTTTTAATTTTTAGAACTTATGTAATGATGAAAAATTGCAAATTGCAAAGATAATATATGATTGTATCAGTTTTAAATTAATGTTCTGTGAAGGGGTTATGTACGGCTGGTTAGTTTAATATACAATGACAAGTCATAATTTATTGAGCAAGTACATGTTATGTAAGCATTAATTTTATGAAGAGTTATTAGAAGCTGAAGCTATGAAACACATGAAAGAGTGAAGTATTTACCTTCTTTTAATTGAAAAATGATAAACTGGTAATAACTAAATTGCTCAAAGAATGCAAAAGACAATTCCCTTATAATAAATTATAAATAGCAAGGATAATATCATTGTGATATTATTGTGTTTAACATTGTTATACAGAATAACTGTAGATTAAATACAGAAAATACTACAAAAATAGTGTCAAACTGTGGTATAGCATCTTCCTAGGGATTATAAATTTTAAGCAGAAGACAGTCAATACACTGATTCCCTAACCACTAATAAATATGCTGGTGGGAGGATAACAAGCTAGAAAATGAACAGAGGAAGGACACACCTTTAAGATGTGAAGCAGGAGGTAATGTGACAGTATGACAGGAAGATAAACATGTGGGAGGCAGCTGACATGCATAAAATGCTTCTAGACATATTTAAATGTCACTGGTGTTCTATTTGTTTTCATGAAACTGCATCACTGAAGATTGCTGTGCTTTGTTTCCGTCCTCCCATGCATAATGTACAATGAACTGTAATTTCATTAATCATTTATGTGTGTGTGCTGTTCATTGTTGCTTATTTTCCCCTTTTTTTCTGCAGAAATATATCGTACAATCCCATCATGGAGCTGCAAGTTGACCACTTTGATAAGTTACATAAGTTAAAATCATTGTAAGTATTTGATGATGCATCCTTGATAACATTAAAATTAAAAAAAAATCAATGTTTAGCATTAAATAAAACTGAGTTAATCAATAAATTGATATCAAGTAACCACACAAACTCGGTTTACAATCAACCTTTTATGTAAATATACAGGTTTTTTATTCTAATTCATTATTTTTTTACTATATCATATTTATTTTACTTTCATATTGATCTTATCTTATTGATCTTATCTTTCATGTTGGTGCCTGTCCAATTACTTTGGTCAGCTCCAGTTTTTGATTTGATTAGTTTGACTAGTTTGAAGAAGGTTATCATTTTTTAATGTTTTTCCATTTTTGAGAACCTCAGTATATTCTGCATATTGCTGTTTGAGACATTCCGGCAAGTGATTGTCATACTTCTTCTTCATACGCACAAGCTTGAATTCACAAAAGTCAAAATCTAAATAAACAGAAGACTAAAAATGTCTCTTTCTAGTAGAAATGTCCCCCATTTAGGCCTTGAAAGGCCATTTACCAAGAAGAAGATTTGGTGAAAACACGTTTTCACGTTTTTGTGTACAAAACAAATCAGCATACTGTATTGTGTGTGGCATCAAACTAAGACAAAATCATCTTTATATTTGTTAGGAGCATAGAAGGAATAGAAATTGGAAACATTCAGCGAAGGATGTTTGAACCACTCAAATACTTGACTCATATGTAAGTACTCCATTGTGATGGTCTATGTTTAAACAGTAAATCCTTATTGTTCAGTCTGGACTGTCATAGAGACAATGTGTTACTCACACATAGAAATATTATCCTAGTAATGAGCTTTGAGCTGGCCTTATTGAGACTGTCAGACTCCTCTTCCAACCAGGAGATGATTAAGTCAAGCTTAGTGTAATCCTTCTTTTCTGTTGCTAAAACAACTCAAGATACATCCATGTAAGTCCTGAAGAGATGCAACAAGACAGAGAACATGATAAGATGAATGCCTCTTCACCCTTGGATACAGTCACAGAGATTCTTTAACGTTCCCTTTGTAATAGTGCTTCATACAAGTTTTAGTAAGTGTCAGCTGCATTCAAATCTATCTTATTTTGCAGAAGTAAAATGCATTTTAAAGCAGCAGTGCTCAAGCTACTTCATTCATAAATATTTTGATATATGCCAGCACCCTACCTTAGACATGAATGGAATAGCATTTTTATTTCACAAAGCAATTTAAAAAATAAATTTAAAGTTGCATCTCTATTTGAAGAAATTGTTGCACCTATTATTCAGAAAACTCCAGAAGTAAAGCAGTGAACTGTTTTCAAAGGGATTGTTTCTTTATAAGAGTGCATTTCCATAAAACATGTGCATTAACTAAAGGGACTTAAAAAAAAAATAAAAAAACATAGTTAATTTTTGAACATCGTGATTTGATCGCAATTTAATTGTCATAAAAAGGTCATTCCGCTTTGGTTTTGAAGAGCGAGCACCAGCATGTGTTTGACATTTGAGAAATGTGAAACAAATATTGGCCAATTATTAATTTTGCACTCAATTCATATTTTCCTGGATGAATTCTAATAGCACTGAGGATGCTCTGACTTTCCAAATAGACACTACTGTCAATACTCTGTAAATTATTGCCATTCCTTTAATACTATAGCAATAAAATAACTGATTAACATATAGTAAGCAAATTAACATTGTAAGGACAGTAGCATGTTCACTTTGACATTTAGCTATGGGCAATGTTGGAAGCTGGAAAATAGTTTGATTTGTTGAAATGTCATTTTTAATTACTGTAAGGACTAGAGCAGGGCAATATGACCAAAAATATTTATCACGATATACGTTTGAAAATTTATAATGATATAACTGACAATATAATTGACAGTAGACAAAATACTTTACAACTCCACAACTTTATTAGTGGAAAAAAAAATCAATGTATTTTCACTTAAACAAGCAGCAGTTTTTTATGTGCATGAAAGTTATATAAAAATTTAACAGTGCAAATGCAAATTCCTTGCTGATATTATGTTGAAGCACAGTACGTATCACTCCGCGAGGCTCCTGCCTACGATAGCCGCAATGCTCCGACAATCCATCAAGCGGTGCGGGTTTCTTAGCAAAGTCGTACTAAAACATTTGACAGATTTTCGAGCGCCGTGTAGCACATAAAATCGTTTCAAGGTCAGTAGACACAACCAGAATTCATACATAAGGCACACGGGATTATAAGAGGCTCTGTCGATTTTCAGAAAAATCAAAGGATTGATTTTAAGTGTGCCGTATTTTCCAAAATACGGCCGTCGCTAGCATGCGCTACCAAAAATAGTGCTTTGTTGTGTATCTGATGGACGAAAGCTAAACCAGTTCGACATCACTGAAGTTGCAGCATTTTTAAAAACCAATTCTGGTTCATCTGTTTCATTCAACGATCCGCTTTCGTCCTTCTCATTTTCCGTCGCCAGCATGCTTTTTCCGCCATGTGTGTATGAAAACAAAGGCACTGCGCATTCGCATTTTACCCATATTCTATCGCGATATTTCATTTTCTTATCTTTGCCCAATATTACACCGGTATTACCGTGAACGGTATGATATGGCCCAGCCCTAGTAAGGACCATAAATGACATGTCAATTTCTATACAGGGGTTGATGGTGGGAGATGGGCAGATAATTCAGCTGAATAAACCCTTTAATTCTTTCTTTGGATAAAATGATTACTGTTAAACTTTTGCAGGTCTCCACCTGGGTAGAAAGACAAAAGACAAAAGCACTCATTTTAATTTAAGTTGGCTTCTTGATTAGGTTTACCACCTTTAGAGTCTCACAGCTTCGGGTGCTATTATTTCCGTATAAAATTGGCAATTCAGATCACCAGAATACCCCTTCTTGCTTTATTCCTCTCTCTTATTTCTGCACCTGCCAGTATGTATAAAAAGAAAAGACATTTACAGTGTGGAATTTTCCTGTTGCCTTGATTGACCCAGAACCTTTTTGGTTCAAATAAACAATCTCCTTTTGTCTGTTGCTTAACCTTACACTTTTTTTGCGTGATTACAGCTACTTCAAGAAATTCCAGTACTGTGGCTATGCTCCTCATGTGCGTAGTTGTAAGCCCAACACTGATGGAATCTCATCCTTTGAGAACCTACTGGCCAATATTGTGCTGAGGGTCTTCGTCTGGGTTGTGTCTGCTACCACCTGCTTCGGCAATATCTTCGTCATCTGCATGCGGTCGTACATTCGCTCAGAGAACAAACTACATGCCATGTGCATCATCTCCCTCTGCTGTAAGTCACGTTACTACATTTAAAGTGGAAAACTCGTATAACTTTTAGGATATAACTTTTACTGGCTACAAAGATTTTATTGTTTGCTGTTGCAGTTTCTAGATTACAACTGACATATTCTTCCAACACTGTGTCCTTCTGATAGCCTTGAATGTCAAAGACAGCACAAAGCATGAAATTAGTTTCCACCGTGCCTATCACCATGTTTCAATAATAAAGGTTTAATATTAAATACACTGGCAATCCTCATGAATACTACTAAATGCAAAAAGCTGGCAGTTGATTAGATAAGATATTCTCATCATCCAAAGAAATAAAAAGTCATTAAGATAAGACATGATTAACATGATATGTAAAAATAGTAAATATATATTCAAACTTAACTCTTGTCATAAAACTGCTTTTATATATGATGCATACTAAGTGGCAAAAAACAGTTTTGACTGAGATACAGCTGAACTACACTTGCCAGTCACTTTGATGGGTTCAGCTATTCAGCTGCTTGTTAACACAAATCAACCAATCAAATTGCAGCAGCTCAAGGCATGTAGACAGGTTGACTCAAATTGACATTCGCTATAACCAAGGTATCTAGACATGCATTTCTAAGTGCAAAACAAATCACAAATCATTGTTGCTGATCATGCCGACCCGTTTATGATCACAGTTTAGCATTTTCTTTTATCTACTCACAAAAGGATAACAGCCCATGACACACTATGTCACAAAGCTCAAAACATCTCAAACTGGTTTCTTGAACATGACAGTAAGTTCACTTGTTCTCAAATGGCCTCTACAGTGACCTGATCTCAGTCTGTTAGAGCACCTTGGGACTGGAATGGGGAAACCGCATCATGTATGTGCAGCCAACAAATCAGCAGCAAATCTGGTATGATGCTATCATGTTGGTACAGCCTAAACTCTGAAGAATGTTTCCAGCATCATGTTGAGTTTGTGCCACAACAAAGTAAAGCCGTTCTGGAGGCTAAAGAGGATCCGACTTGGTTTAAATTAGATTTAAATCTTTCTTTTTGATAAAGCATATAGTAAGGGCTGGATCAGGTGACATGTAATCTTTAGTTATTATTAATCTTTGGCTTTCTCCCACAGCATGTCTTTGTCCTATCTTCCTCCCCTTACCGGTAACCGGTCGCAACTGATGTCCTGAGCCAGAGCCAGAGCTGTTAGTAAAAAGCTGTTCACGTGTTTTGTGGTTTCAAACACAGTGGAAAAGTAAATCCAGTCTTTTTGTGGAGTGCACTGGTGTGTGAATGTGATATGAGAACTGTTTTCATTAGCAAGTAGATTTTTGGCCAAAGAAAGCCAAAAATGAAGCTTATGATGATGAGAAAAGTAAAGCATTTTAAATATGACTTATTCTTTGCTACTTTAGCTGAAGAGTTTAAAAAGAGTATCTTAATGCAAGCAGGATGTGTTTGCATATTGCTTTTAATATGGCTATTAAAGGAGCGGAAAGAGTCAAGGAAGAAATGAACCAATAACAAAGTACAAACATGAAAGTGTTGAGTCATCCGTACTTAGAACTGGAACAAGACTTGATATGAATTAATTATGCTTGTATCAGCCATTGCCTTTTCCTAAGAAAGCCAAAGTATTCATGATCTTTAAGTGACTATATAGGAGCCCCATCACACAGTCGGCAAGTTTAATTTTTGTACCCTTACAATCTTTCTATGACACATTATAACATAAAAAACCCCAAAACATACAAAAGAAAACTTAAAAGCAATGTTTAGTTATTTTATTCCAGGTCCACAATTAATGCCTTCTAAAGAGCTTTGGTCTGATTCAGCATCAAAAGAATTACTAACAGGACTAAGGAGGAGGATTTGAGTAATGAATTCACCAAACTATCAAAGAAATAAACATTAATCCATGACTGATGAAGCAGTGGGCAATTCATCAGAGGATATAAGTTGTGAATTAAATCACAAATTTAAGAAAAAAACATTGTGATAACTTTGCAAACAGAATTGAAAGTAGGTATAAAAGAAAATAACAGATGGGGCTGGTAGTTATCTTTTAATTTCAGTTCTTTTTCTCTCCAAGAGTTTCAAGCATGAAACAATGGTTGGTGTACGATGCATAGTCATGTTTTGTATATCAAATTCCAATTATTCCAAGAGATGGAGATTGCACATTGAACAGTCTTTTAAGACAGATGTATAACGTCTCAGCTTGCTTTTTGAACTTCTAACCTTTTGTTAGTCAAAGGAGCTTGCAAAGAAAAGCGTCTGGACTTCTTTAAGTTGCTTGAAGACGTTTCACCTCTCATCCGAGAAGCTTCTTCAGTTCTAAGGTCAAATGGTGGAGAGTCCCAGATATAAACCTAGTAGGAGTGACCCCCCACAGAGGGACAAAAGGACCCCCTGATGATCCTCTAATCGCCTGAGCCAGGGTGTGAAAATGGGTGTGGGTCCCAATCAGCCAGAGTTTCGGGTGTGTTCATTGTGAAACCTGGCCCCACCTTATCATGCGAATTCCTGAGGTCAGATGGCCCAGGATGTGAGTGGGCGTTAAGGCGTCTGGGAAGGGATCTCAAAACTGGATTATAGATGGCAGAGAGTTGGTGTCGTAAACCCCCGCCTCTGTTCAAAGATGGTCGCTCACAGTGGACATAGATGGCTTCTTTCACTCCTCTTTCAAACCATCTGTCCTCTCCGTCCAAAATGTGAACATTGGCATCCTCGAAAGAGTGTCCTTTGTCCTTTAGATGCAGATGGACTGCTGAGTCTTGTCCTGTGGAGGTGGCTCTTCTGTGTTGTGCCATGCGCTTGTGAAGTGGCTGTTTGGTCTCTCCAATGTAGAGGTCTGAGCATTCCTCGCTGCACTGTACAGCATACACCACGTTGTTAAGTTTGTGTTTAGGAGTTTTTTTTTTTTTTTTATAACTCTTTATTTTGTACTTTTTCCTTTGTATTACATACGGACAAGACAATAATAATAATAACACAACAACAAACACACAACAAAAAAAAAAAAAAAAAAAAAACACGAGAGGTCCCGCCCTATAAGGCTGACTGAGACTTATAAATTATCCATTTGTCCACTGTTTCGGTGTTTGTCAGATTTCAGTCTCAGAGTGTAAGTCATTTTTTCCATGTATATATGTCCTCGATTACGTCCATCCAGTCTTCCAGTTTTAAAGGATCGCTTTTCAGCCAATTCTTTGTTATCACCTTTTTGCTTGACAACAACATAATCTTAAACAAATACCAGTCCTCCTTTTTACATTTTCCCATATTCCAAAATACATTACTCGTGCCTCACACAGTACTTCATACCCAGCACCTTCGTCATTGTTGCCGCGATTCTTTCCCAATATGGTTTAATATATTTACACTTCCAAAACACATGTGAGTGATTGGCGTTCCAGTCTCCACATAATCTCCAGCATTGTTGGGGGTTTTAACTGCTTGCTTTTGATATACGGAGTAATAAAAAACCTAATCACATTTTTCCAGCCATATTCTCTCCATCGTCTAGAGCTAGTGGAGTTATGCTGTGTGAGACATAAGGATCGCCAATCATCCTCTGACAACTCAATTTGTAGTTCCGATTCCCACTTTTGTTTAATATATAATGTTTCATTCCTATTCGAATTTGTAGGCCATCATATAATTTCGACAGAATTCCTGATGGAAGATTTTTATATGCACCTGTTATTGTTCCTATTATACGATTTCTTTCTCTCGAAAGCTTCTTTCTAATTTCTGTATTGTAAAAGTGTCTTAATGAAAGTACCTAAATAAATCTGATTTATCCAATCCGAATTGTTTCTGTAGATTCTCAAAAGATTTAAATGTTGTCCCATCTATTAATGTACACATTGCTGTAATTCCTTTATTGACCCATCTTAAAAATGTGCTATCCCATTGTCCACTTTGGAATTTTCGAGAGTATGCAGGCCAAATCAGCAATTTACAATCTTCTGTAATTCTATATTTCTTCATTATTGTCCACCAGAGTTTAATAGTAAATTCAGTGATGAGATTTTTGTTCGTGGGCTGGGTAGTTTCTTCTCCCAATCTTGCTTGTGGATGACATGATAGGCAATAATTTAACTCTATATGCTTCCATTTTGAAGTATATTCTGATGAACACCAATAAACAGTATATCTCAGCTGAGCTGCATAGAATATTCCTTGAAATTCGGGAGGGCAAGTCCTCCTTTTCTTTTCCTGATTGGAGTATTTTAAATCTTATTCTTGGCTTATCCCTTTCCAAATAAATCTACTAACTAATTTATCCCATTTACCAAACTGTGCGTCTGTTATTTGGACTGGTAATGAGGTGAATAGGTACAATAACCGGGGAAGCACATTCATTTTATTACCTCTATTCTTGAGCTAAGGTCCTTGACAAGCGGAGCCCATTTAATCAGATCTTTTTGGATTGTGTTACTAAACTTCACATAGTTTGCCTCGTATAAAGTACTTGTATCACTAGTTAAATAGACACCTAAGTATTTGATCTTATTTGAATCCCATTTTAATTTAAATTCATTTTGTAATAATTCTTTGGGGAAATAATTCAGACAGAGTACTTGAGTCTTTACGATGTTTAGTTTATATCCTGCGTTTTTACCAAATATTTTAATGCTTTAAACAGCCAAGGAAAGGTCGTATCAGGATCCTGTAGATATATAATTATATCATCTGCAAAAAGACCTATTCGTTATTCAAGTTTGGAAACAAAAACCCCTTTTAAGTCTGTACTTTGCCGTATATACTGAGCCAAAGGCTCAATATACAAAGCAAAAAGAGCTGGACTCAAGCAGCAACCTTGCCTAGTTCCTCTAAAGAGCTCAAAGCTGTCTGTCAAGTCCCCATTTATTTTAACTCTAGCCATTGGCCTATGATACAGGGATTGTATACACTTAATGAAGATACTGTCAAAGCCCATTCTCTTCAAAACAGCAAAAAGAAATATCCAAGAGACTCTGTCAAAAGCCTTTTCAGCATCTAAACTCACTAAGG